CCCCAAAACCCCAAAACCCCAAAACCCCATCAGAGCTGATTGCAGAATTACTTAAGAGATGTATTCAATATGTAAATAATATTTAATTTTGTTTTATCATCTAACTAAAGTAATATAAATGGGTGTTCTCTCATTCGATGTAACCAAAGGATAGTTTTTCTGGGCATCAGTGATATGTTTAATATCATTCTTGTCTGTGACTATATTCGATAACATATCTTATCCTTTATTCATGCACCCATATTATACTTACTATACTATATTTGTTAAATGTGCGAGTAATCAGATCTCCTACAATCTCTTAAACAGATCTTTAAAGAGGAACTATTTCTTTAACTTAATGAGAAACGTGGTGAAACCAACGCTGTTCCCACTAATATATGTTGGATATACTGATCCCCACAGAGTCTTAAATCTAGCTATTGCAGTCTTTTTGATGACATACTTATTTTAACACCTTAATTTAAGAATAGTATCTAGATTTAAGTATCTATGGACTATCCTACATTTCGGATACTTGATGAGCAATTCTATTGCACTGATAACCATGTTTAACAGAGCTCAGAATCACTATAATGGAAATGCTATGGCTTTTTTCTTAGCTTGGTTTGGAGAAGTTCATTTCTCCATTATTGGTCATGCCTTTGAAGACTTAGTTTTTGGTGATCTCAACTACTTCGGATGGTCTCTGATCCAAGGTTTTCATATACCATACCTGATTGCCACATTTATAATATTCTTTTTACAATTCATGCTATATGGTGAAGGTCTTAAATTTAACAGCCCTTAAAGTATTTACGATTTTGCAAATGGTCATGGACACATCTAGAATTATTAAGTTGTATCCCACAATGATATTAGAGCTTATCCAATTTACTTTTACTCTAATCTTGTATTTGCTTTGTCAATTTTACATAGCAATTTGAGAACATACTAAAGATTAAATTCATATGAAAGATCATAAATAAAGGTAGAGAAAAAGATTTAAGAATAGCCAATAGAAATCGAAGAAGAGACTAAGTATATCTAAAAAAAATTTTCAAACAAAACAAGCCCCAAACAAAATAGAAGAAAAAAATAAGAACAGGTTGGTAAAAATGATCGATATCGCTCGCCATCAGATTAATAAGGATAGATTAGGAATAGGAAAAAGAATAAGAACTTTTGATTACAAATTTATTTCAATATTTGTAGATTCAAAAATTTTCCTTATTAATTTCTTAATCTATCATATTTATTTTATAAGTAACTTTTGGGGTTTTGGGGTTTTGGGGTTTTGGGG